GGGGGTGGTTAATGAAAGTGTTCCAAAACGCGATATTAATTTCTTGACGACCTAATATATATTTAAATGTGATCATACATGCAATGACACAAAATTAGGTTGAATAAAACACTTTAGTCGCACACAACAGGAGTTCACTGATCTCACAGTTAAAAGCTTTCTAATACATACATACACTGTATTTTGATATATATGAACAATTATATACCTGGAGATACAAAACAATGTCTGTTACAGTTTTAGTATTAACTTCACGTACATAAAAACCCACATGTATATATATGTGTGTGTGTGTAAAATGTTTTTCTGCCCTGACTGATGTCATAATCGGGTCAATGCTAGAAAGTTGAAGTCTCTGCCGGACTGCCGGCCCTGTTAGTTTAATATTTTAGCCACAAGACAACAATAACAACAACAACAAAAAAGGCTATTGACCACTTTTTGAGAGATCCTGCATATTTTGGAGGCCTCTGCCAGCAGGAGATCTCTTTCCGCTGGCTTTTTCTTATTGGTATTTGATTTTCTTCTCCTTATTGCTGAAACCATTGCTGTTTCTTCATTCAGAAAAACTAATGATTAAATTGGTTTCAACTGTGTTCCTATAATATAAATTATACTAACTGTACCAATCATATGGGGCCTGGCATGGCCTGGTGGTTGTTAAAATAAACAGAAAACTCTAACAGTATTTACCTCATAATCTTATCTAAATGGTTAGGACGCTCTACGCGTAATCTGCGAGTCGCGAATTCGAATCCTCGTCATTGAACATGCTCGCCCTTTCAGATGTGGGGGCGTTATAAAGGGACGGTCAATCCCACTATTCATTGGTAAAAGAATAGCCCCAAAGTTGATGGTAGGTGGTATTGACTATCTGCCTTCCCTCTAGTCTATCACTGCTAAATTAGGGTTGAGTAGCACAGATAGCCCTCGTGTAGCTTTGCGCGAAATTCAAACCAAACCAGCCATATGGTACCAACTGTGTAGTAACTTTTTTTCACCCTGTAAAAATGTCAATGAAATATCTGTCTATATAACTTTATATACAGAGAGTTAGAAATGGACCTTTTTAATAGATTTTATTGTTTTAGATTTTGGTCACTATGGTTGTATTGAGTTTCAATACAATAATCCTTTCCTTACTACGAATATTATGAAATGATAATACTTTTTATATAGAAATAAATACATAAGTAGTTTGATTTGTTTATTCTTATCTAACGTTTGAACTTTGAACTTAACAATCGTACTGTGTCAAAGGTCATGCGTGTTACAACGACGAAAAAGTTCATCATTAATGTCATTTTACATGAATAATAATATTCGTTTACACGAGTGGTTTCTCATGCAGATTCGACGAAAGAGCAAATCACACAACATATTATTTGAAGGAGACGTAGTGGACAGTATCAACGGCCACGTGACCAAAGGTCTTACTCATGAACAAACAATCGACATAGTTGACAAAGCTAGGGATATACTCGTCCTGGAAGTCACCAGGTAAGCAGTTTTCGTTGAAAATGTTTGACGTCACTGTCACTCTAACAATTAATGGTTGATAACTTGATTTTCGTCCAAAAGCTGCTAATTTTCCGCATGACCTGTCACATCTTGAATCATTAATGGTCTGAATTTGGTCAATTTTTCGTGATGATGCTTCTATAAGCTCGAGGGACTTCAAGATAATTAATTCTACGAGTATTTGAGAAATGAGAAATTCGTTTATTTGAAAAATCAATATTTTCAAATTCCAATTTTCTTTCGTAAAAAGTGTCGTTATATTCAAGTTCAATTATATTTAGAAGCACAGATTCACATTCTTTCTGGTGGTATTTCAGAAAAAAAAAATCCAAGTTGAACTTTACTTGAAGAAGAATAAAGATGTGTATGTAATATGAGGGCCTCAGCAGGGTCGCAGAGTTCGTCGTATACGTTCTTCCTTATCTAAAAAAAAATCTTCCTATGACTGACACTGGACGATCAAACAGAAATATAAAAGTTAATTTGATTATTTGTGTGACCATCTCTTCCCATGCTAGTCAGCACAGACGCAATAAGCCGTATACTCGGTGACACGGCGGGAGCCCCCCGGTGGCACAGCGGAATGTCAGAGGACTTACAATGCTAGAATTCGGGTTTCAATACCCGTGGTGAGCAGGGCACAGGTAGCCCATTGTGTAGCTTGTTTGCTTAATTACAAACAAACAGACACGGCGGGAAAATGTTTTTCTAGAGCCATCTAGTGACTCAAACAAAAGTACTTCGTGAATTTCTGCTAGCTTTGCCATAAAACGAGTTCTTTAAATACTTGATGAAGATATATTTTATTTACATTTTTGCACTAAATTAAAAATATTAACTAACGATGTTTAATTTAAAGTTTCTGAGACTGCTAGCACGAAAACCACAGCTAACTAGAGATAAAGATCTTCTCTTTCCTCAATATAAGTTAACTGGGATAGCTGAGTCGGTAAGAAATAATTCTAAAAATAAGCTCAATTCTCTCAAAGGTTTTAGTACACGAAGTATTTTCGTTTGTTTAGATGTTTTTATATACCATTGCGTGTGACCGCTTTATGGGTAACTGAAGTAAAAGTGATCTGATCATTAACTTAGAAATGTGGCACAACAACGTAAATAAATTTAAAAATTTAATTACAAACAAATATAATGGTAGGGTTCATTACTCCTGATTAAGGCGTAAAGCCGAAACGTTGAACAAATAAAACAACTTGTAAGATTTTCTGGGGTTCACGGTCGTTTCATTTATTTGTAGTTATGTGTATTTTGCTCCGGTCAGCATTATGTAAATTACAAAGCGGAACAAAAAAACTTTTTTCAGAACTCTTTAAGCGCATTAACACGAAGATTTGAACTGTATATTTACTCAAACCAAGCTTGTTAAGGAACTTTTACTACTTGGAAAAAGTTTATCTTAATAAAAAAAATATATCGTTTTGGTATGTATTCAACAGTAAAAATAGCTAATGTTTTGTTTGAGTTTTGTGTTTACAAATACAGCATTTCCATTCTTTAGGTATGATTGGAAACCAACCTGAAACATTTACAGAGTAGGGGAAACACAGTAGCTAACATTTGAAATAACAATAAAAAAAACATTAGATGTTTAACTTTAGTGCAACTTCTTGAGAATCGGTTTAAGAAGAAAATATGAGATAAATATACAAGTGAGTAATAACAAAATAAATTACACCTATTAAGCTGTAAAGAGTGAATAAATAAAACTTATTAACGCTGTAACTACCGGATAAATACACCTGATTAGAGCTGTAACTACGGAATAGACAAATCTGACTAAACTCTGTACCAACCAGATAGCTATGACTGATTAAAGTTGTAACAATGGTAAAGATACCGATAAACGAAGCTGTAACAGCCAAAGAACCGGATAAATACAACTGATTACAGTTATAACAATAAATAAATACTAGTGATTAACTCAGTATCAATCGGATAAGATGAGCTGATTAGCGCTGAAACATCCAAATATACACCTGGAAAAAAGTTAAGCACCCCCGTGTTTTTTTCAAGTGATTCAGATTC